CCTATGGTTTTCTGACTCATTGGTCTTTTTATTAGTAATTTGTGGGAATTAAGGAAGATGACCATTTATAACATGCAATGTAAACATTTTTCTCCTTGTCATTTGTCTTTTGACTCTGTTTATGATGCTTTTTTGTGCAAAGATTTATTTTTATGTAGGTAAATTTATTAATTCTTTAGTGGCGTTGGGAGGCCTCTCCCACTCAAAGATTATGCAAAGTTTCTTTGCTGTCTTACTTTTTAAAATTAATTAAATCTTTGATCCTCCTGGAATTTATTTTGGTGCAAGGACTAAGGTAGGGGCCTAAATTTGTTTCTTTCCAGATGGCAGCCACTACTTTTGCTCTTTTAACCTATAAAAGCAAAGTGCTGGGTTAGAAGATCCTAAGGTCCCTTAGGTATCAAAGAAGTCACTTGCAAACTTGCTCAGTAGATGGCAGTATGCCTTTTTGTAGGCCTTTTTAACAGCATCATTTACTGTAAGTAGTAAATCATAAGCTTGACTTAGAATAGTACAAATATGGTGTTATCTTAAACCTATTACTACATATGCCACGAAAAATGTTTTACGAAACAGTAGATTTGATTTCTTGGGGAATAGCAAGAAGAAAGCCAAAGAAACTTATGCCACTGCATAACATCCAATCCTTTTAAAACAAAACACATCTCTAGAAATAAGCCATTTTTGTACTAGTTCTCATGAGAGTCCTATTGGAGACTATAACATTTTGAGAAAGATAGAATGTTGACAGGAGATGCAAAGAGCTACAGAGGGTAGACAGGGAAAAGGGCTGGATGTGATAAAGTGAGGAGCATACAAGAAAGTAAGCTCTGAGCACAGTGAATTTTTTTTGTATACTGCTGTATACCTGGTGCTGGAAACATAGTAGGTGTTCTATAAGTATCTGTAAACATAAATGACCAGGATTTTAAAGGGGACAGCCACTATTTAGCTCACTCCTGTTGCTGGATGGGAATGTGGGTCTAGGATTCCCAAATCTAAATTTTCAAGTGGAACCAGAAATCCGGATTTTAAAATGTGACATCTGTATTATAAATCTTGGCAATGAATTCAAATGTTGGGGTCAAAGACAACATGTCTATTGGTAAGATTCTGCCCAAGGGTTACCAGTTTGCCACTTCTATAAATAGTGTAGGTAAATAAAAGATTATTAATGATACTTCAGTTAGGGCTGTGGATAAAACTTGATGTACGCCTTCTAGCTAAGCATTGTTTTTAGTTGTCTAAGAAACCCTTCTTGCCCTAACTGGAAAGTCATCTAACTTCTTATCCTGTTGTAAAGGTAAATATAGACATTGTTTCTGAGGTTTTAATGGAATTTCATTGTGCTCCTGGGCCTTTGTTCTTCAGGACTTGACAGTGCAGACTTCTCTTTTAGTGAGCTTCATCCTAGGAGTTCCCAATCTATAGAGCAGTGGCTAAGGACATTTAGATTGTCCCATTAAATGGAAAGAAAAATAACTTTTAACCAGTATGTAGCATCAAATTTCAGAACTGGAAATGAGCTATCAATTGGTCCAATCTCCTTTTTTCAGGAAAGACATGGCAGTCAACTAGGACAATGTCCTAGGGCGGCAGGTAAGAGTAAAACTATCTCATTCACATTTATGTGTTATTCTTTGATTCTCCACATTTTTACAACAAAGATGAGATGGCTTACAGAAAGAACAAATTAAAATACAAACAGAAAAACAAGGCTATGAAAGAAATTAAGAGTGAGGTGAGGGGCCGGCCTTGTGACCGAGTGGTTAAGTTCATGCGCTCCGCTTGGGTGGCCCAGGGTTTTGCTGGGTCAGATCCTGGGCACGAACATGGCACCCCTCATCAGGTCATGCCGAGGTGGCGTCCCACATAGCACAACCAGAGGCACTCATAACTAGAACATACAACTATGTACTGGAGGGCTTTGGGGACAACAAGAAAAAAAGAAGATGAGTGGCAACAAATGTCAGCTCAAGTGCCAATTTTCTTTTTAAAAAGTGAGGTGATGAGAAGCTTACACTTGGGAAGCAGAGTTTGTAATAGGGCTGTTTCTCAAACAAGTCATGTAACCTTTCAGTTTCCTCATCTGTAAAATTAGAATTTTTTTTGAGGATTAAATAAGGCAATACATTTAAGACCCTTATCTTGGTGGCAAGAAATAGTAAATACCCAATAAATACTAGCTAAAAGTATACATACCAATATATATGGGTTAATATAGTTGCTATGATGAGAGTATTGGTTTCAGTTCTGAGACTCTTGATGGTCAAGGTGGAGAGGAAAACTACAGTTACATGGAAAACACAAACAAAAATTCCTCCCACAGTATTCTGGGAATATTGAGTACTGGAGTTGTTTATTTCCTTGACTCCAATACTAAATTTGTGAACTTGGACAAGTTATTTAACCTATCACATATAAATCTATGACTTACTATATGTTTAACTTTTGTTCCTTTTGATTTTACAAAAAGTGTTTGCTGAATGAAGTCTTGTGGGAATTTCCTTTGTTACTCAACACTATCCTACTGACTTGTTTATAACTAGTTCACTCATGTTCATTGCTGTGTAACATTGCATTGTATGATTATACCACAATTTATCCATTCTCCTGTTGATGTGTACTTAGGTTGTTCCTGGGGTTTTTGCTATTGTAATGGCAGTGCTACAAAAATTCCTGGGCAGGTCTCCTGGTATTCAAGTGCACTCCCCTCTGGTAACCTGCCCTGTAAATTCCAGCTGTCTCAGCAGCCCCAGATCCCCAAGATATCACCACTGTTTGAGCTCCACTTCCTTGTACCATGATTGGGAATATTCTCCTAGGCAGACACATGGTGAATCTGGGGTTCACCATGTGTTTCCCTTCTCTCAAGTTTCACAGTCTGCTTTGCCTGTTATCCACTTCCTGAAAACAGCTGCTGCATGTATTTTGTCCAGTTTTATGTTGTTTAGGACAGAAGGATAAGTCCAATACTAATTATTATGTCATGGCCAGATGTGGAAGTCTAATCATCTCTTATTTTCTTTTGAGGAAGATTAGCCCTGAGCTAACATCTGCTGCCAATCCTCTTTTTTGCTGAGGAAGACTGGCCCTGAGCTAACATCTGTGCCCATCTTCCTCTACTTTATATGTGGGATGCCTGCCACAGCATGGCTTGACAAGCTTTGCATAGGTCTGCATCCAGGATCTGAACTGGGGAACCCTGGGCTGCTGAAGTGGAACGTGCGAACTTAACTGCTGTACCACTGGGCCGGGCCCTATTTATCTGTTTTCTAGTGAAAGTTTTAGTTTCATTTTGGGTATGTAATCATTAATACAGCTAGAGTTTATCTGCTCATTTCAAAAGGCTGAGAGAAATTTCATTTAAAGATAACTTAAATAATACACTATCTTAGACATTCTTCAAGATGCATTTAGTTCTATCTAAGAGGTTAAATTAGACCACTGAAAACTACATTTGACACATGCTATATGAATGGTGTGAGGTAGCAATAACAATTTATTCCCTTATGGGTAACCATTTCACCCCCGGTTTAAGAAGATTAACTTCTGAGCTTCACTTCTTCACTTAATGATATCTCATATATGAAACACAGGTACACACACAAGTAGCCTTTATAGATGGTCTGTAGTGTAGACGTCTTAGTTCTTCTCATTAAAGACAGATTTTAAGACTTTAAAACCAGATAATAGCAGCTAACATTTATATTACCCTGTCTTTATGCAGGAACTATTCTAAGCACTTTATGTACACTAACTCATTCAATCCTAATAACAATCCTATGAAATAGTTGCTATTATTCTCTCCACTTTACAAATGGGGAAACTGAGGTATAGAGTTTGCCATAGCTTGCCCAAGGTCACACAAGCAATTTGTAGTGGTACAGATATTTGAATACAGACAAGCACACCATACTATACTACTATTCAGACGAGCAGATTGTAACGCCATTCTATTGTGAAAATTAAGGAGCCCTTCATTCCACCTCTGCTCAGACACGGCCCCAGGCCTGATTCGCTTAGAAAACTGAATCCACCCACCTCCATCATGGGCATTTCAAAATCTTAAAAACGAGAACTGCAAAGCAATTAGTGAATTTAGTTTAAGGATAGTCCTCCCTTTAATTCCAGGAATAGTGGTCCCCCAAAACCATTCTCTCTGACATTTGTCCATTTTCTTGCAACAGATTGATTCTAATGAATAATATGCATTTTCATAGTGCTCAATCCTTTTTTAAGTGCTTTCACATGGATTAATTTTCACATACCCAAACTACTGGCCTACTGGTGTCTGTCATGTTTTCTATCGAATTAGAAGTGGATTTTTTTTTTCAATTGCATTCTGTCCAGAAATGAAATATACTCCAAGATCCCCATGAGAGACTATCTGAAATCAGTCAACCCACATTTACTCCAGTCTGGTGCTACGTCACTTTTTCACATTTCTGAGGCACAGCAGCTGAGAATTGGAAGACATGACAATAGCCAAGTCAGTTGAGAGAAAGATTCCCAAATCAACACAGCCACTTCTTTCTCCTGAGATGTCGCGCGTTGTGCCACAAGGTCCGATGGCCTATTTCTAACTTCATTTTGGTAGGCTTCCCTTCTCTCTACTCACTTGATCTGCTAGGTTGTAAAGAATTTTGACTTAAATTTTTTATTTCAATAGGCAATTATATAGTAGAATACACTGCCAAGAAAGATATTGTTGGGGTTGTTTTTTATAATGGGTAAGGACTTTAAAAGAAATGACTATACATAGGCAACCAGAGGTAAAAATAAACCTCTATGTTTCCTTCCTACGGTTAGGTAAGCTCTGCATAAGCACATTCTAAGCAGAATTCTAACCAACATTCAAGCACATACTCAACATAAAACCATGGTTTATGATATTTTAGCTATTATGTTAGTGTATCTTGTAAACAATAAAGTCAAATAATTATTTCAAACAGGCAGTGTTTAGATTTAGAAATGATTACAAATACTGAAAAAACCCATGGATTAAAATACAGTATTTTATTTTTTTCTCACCTAAAAAACAAGCAACCCAGAATTAAGATATACATAAACTTCTCAAATTTATCCCTAATAAAATTTTGAATATTTATACAATTTCTACAGAAACATACAGTGTATCAAAATCTGCATAAATCAAATTTATAAAATGTGTAGAAATGCATAGTGATATTATCAACTTACAAAGCAAGGATATGAGAATTATTTCCAAAGCAGCCTACAGTAGAAAATAGTCATTATGGCAGCAGCTTCTGATGTTTTTCGCGTTTGGTAAGGTTTCTGATTTCAATATATAGAATCATTTTCATAGAGTATCTTAATGAATTGCACAAAATACCCACTTAAAATTTACATGAACAGTTTATGTGCCACCTTTCTTAGGCCTATGCATAGTTAACAAGGTTATAATCTATTCAACAAGGAAAATGAAGCCCATTTGCAAACACACAAGTACCAGTTCTCTTAGTCTCTTTTTTATAGTTGATTTATTTTGTAATTATATAAGCATAGAAATGAGTTCCTTTTAAACATCCCTGGAGATGAATGAAAGTTAAAATGGTTGATCACAGATCAGTAGCAAAATACAAATTGACAATTCAAAATTATAAATAGAACTTTGTTTGGGATGTTTAACTTTGACTCTCCAAATTTAAGAACTAAGCTTGGAAGAAACAAATTTGTAGGCTTTTCTTTTAAAGAAATGTAGAGTTTTGTTTTTTTTGTTTTTTTTGTTTTTAGTTTTTAAGCTTTACTTAAAAATATTCCCCTCTCACAGTAGTTTGTGAATTCCTTTCATTGTAATTATATCATGATTACAGGATCAAAGATGTGTAATTTATTTGCCATTCCCCACCTTATCACATTTTTTTTTCACTCAACATAGCATTTTAATCTTTTGGGTAATAAAAGAATTTATTTAGAACTTAAAATCTAATTGACCACTTGCAGTATTTGGTTTTCCTATTTTAGGTACTATCTTAATAAATGTTTAAATCGAAACAAGTCTTCTTTTCACTGGAAAAATACTAATAGAAATATGCTTCCTAAAAAACATTAAGAAACACTAGGGAACTAACACCTAATCTAAAAGAAAGGAGTTCATCTTTGTTAATGAGCTGTATTTTTAAATAGCCTTTTTTTTTTTAATTTTAAAAATGTGCAGGGAATTTCATTTGGATGAAGATATAAATGAAACATCCATTCACTCTTGGCTTCATAGGTTGCACAGCTTAGGTTATAATGCACGGGAGTTTTGTAAGGCTTAATCTAATAAGGGCTCGGAAATTCTTATCTTGGTCAGGATGACCCTTTGCTGTGTTTACAGTGGTGTTTTGTTGTTTTTGTTACCCCCATTTCAAGGTTTCAAAACTGAGAATTATTTATAGTTTTCTGTAGTGATAAGTACTGGAGGAAAGAAATCCTAAACATCAGTGGACAATGTTTCTCTAGCTGGTAGACCCCTTTGCTGTCTGAGGAGTTGGTACTGACAGAGGGCATTGGGAATGCCAGGAAGTAAGGGAGTTAATGCCATACGATCTTAAACCCAACGGAATAGCCTGGGGATGTTCCATATGGTCATTTCTTTTTCAAGCCATACAATAATCAATTTCAGAGCAAGCGGTAGCACATAAATTCACCTCTGAGGAGTAAAAGTGTTCCTCACACAGGTGACAATTCCGTCATTACCATCCTATAAGTTTCATTAAAAGCTCTTGAAATATATACTGAGAAATGAAAGAGGCACTAAATGTGTTGAAATTCACCTTTCAAAAAAGCAGCATGACTGTGAAGGAAGGCCACCTTGGCTAATAACCTGTGGCAGTGCTTCAAAAAGATGTAAAATTAAATAAAGACACAACAGGTTGATAATCACCAAGTTATATATGAAAGTCTGGTTACTCCAACCTTTTTTCAAGTGTGTTAAAAAAAAAAAATCAAACTGCCTTTCAGACCCCTGAGTGTAATCCCAAAGAAGACAATAATGCTTTTAACTCTGTTCTAAACAAAGCAGAGCTAAATGCACAAATTACCAACATCAGCTTAAGACAAAACAAAAAAAGATGTAAACACCTACAAGGTTTAAGGTAAAAGCAGTTTTGTAAACAGTAACTGCAGATGATAATGTTATTGTAAAATCACAGTTTATCAACGTCCTTCAAACTGACCAGGAGGTTCTGGGTTTGGAGCTGTACAGGTAATAATCGTTGCAGCAGGTTTCAGGCGGTTTTCAGTCCTGTATAAATTTACGTGTCAGTAGGTAGGTTATTGGTTTCTTTTATCCTTTCTAAACACTATGGATGTTATTTATTTCCCACTTTTGAGTCATTTTACTTGAGTCACAATTGGAGATGAACACTTGATGTAGGACCTCTGAGCGATCTAAACACTTTCCTGAAGGAATGTGAGTAAATCTGTGCAGGTTCTGGAAAACACAGGAAAAAGAAGTTTTAATTTTGCACTGTTTTGATATCACTGACATTAGAAGAAGTCACTACCTGGCTTTCATAATAAGATAATTCAAGCAAATTAGACAGGCTTAAACCAACCAGACCCAAACTTCGGATTTCCGTCTTTCAGTCCTTTTATTGTTAAGTCATGATGTACTGCTGGTACCTCAAAAATCCAATGTAGACAAACCTAAATTCTTTATCTTCCCCTCAGAACCACTTCCCCAGCTCCTATCACAGCTAATAGTAATACCAGCTTTCCAGCCCTCAGGATAGAGGCATCTCATGCTGCACCTTCCTTCCTTCCTTCCTTCCTCCACATTGCGGCCTTCATTTGGGACTGATATTTGGAATGTCTCTGGATATATCCTTTCCCATCTCCACTGCCGATGCCGTAGGTTAGCCCCCATCATCTGTTGTAGGTTTGTTCAGTACAGCTCAGGGTTTCCCAGAGTGTGGTGCTTAGACCATCTAAGATTGGGTCTGTAAGGTGACAATTATTTTCATAATACAAAGACCCCCATTTGCTTTCTTCATTGTATTGACATTTATACTGATGGTGTTAAAGCGATGGGGGGTAAAAGGGCTGGGGTCCTAGCATAAATTAAGCAGCGACCCAATACTGTGCCAGTAGTTACATTCTTCACGGCCACACACTCAGTTACAAAAGAAAACATTGGTTTCACTTAAGAATGTCCTTGATGAAGCAGTAAAACTTATTAGTTTTACTAAATCTTGACCTTTGAGAATACTTTTAAAAAATATTCTATAAGATGAAATGCAAAGTATGCATAAAGCACTTCTATACACTGAAGTACAATGGTATCTTGAGGGAAAGCACGTGTGCACTTGTTGGACTTGAGAGTTGAACTGCTGCTTTTCTCATGGAATGTCATTTTGACTTGAAAGAACAACTCAAACAAACTGATTATTCAAACTTGGGACTGGGTAGACATTTTCTTGAAAATGAAGTGAGACTGTCACTTCAAGAAAAAAAAACCCAACACAAATCTAACAGTTTTTGTTGCCACTGATAAAATCGAGTATTCAAGTAAAAATTAGAGTTTTGGAAAACTTGTATCATCACCATGAACTTGATAGCTTTACAATATTTGAAGACTTTTCTGATGAAATCAGTGACTATAGTTGTGATTTTTTGACAATGTATAATGAAATGTGTCAACATTTGGAAGATCTACATAACTTAGTGGACCAAAATTTTCCAAACAAGCAATGTATGATGTTACAAAAGCTCACATGGGTAGAAGATCCATTCAGAGTGAAAGACAGACCAATGGATTTTAATGTGGCATGGGACTAAATGTTCACTGACATGGTTTCAGGTTCTACACTGCAAATAACTTTTAAGAAACTACCACTTTTCAAGTTGTGGTGTAGCACCAAAGAAGAATAGCCATGATTATCTGAAAAGGCTATTAAGTTAACCCTGTTTTCCAACTACATGTTCACGTGAGGCTGGATTTTCCTCAGACACTTCAACTAAAACAACATAGCACATTAAGTGCAGTAGCAGTATAAGAATCCAGCTGTCTTCTATTAAACCGGACACTAAAGGGATTTGCAAAACTAAAAAAACGATGCTATCCTTCTCAGCTTGTTTTTGAAAAAATTATTTTTCACTAAAAGGGTTATTTATATTAACAGGTATTAGTTATTATTGTTACTTTTATATGAATTAGTACATAAATACAAAATTTCTCAGATTTAATTTCCAATTTAGGAAATAGTGTTAGCTATAACCTAACAAATAACAAATAAACAAATAACAAATAGACAAAATCTGTCTGCAGGGAGTCTCGATACTTTTCTAAGAGTGTAAAAAGCTTGAGAACTGCCGATTGAGGCTGATCTCCTTGCTTATCAGTTCATTCTTCACAATGCTCCCAGGATTATTTTCCTAAAGGTGCCCACTGTTTCCTATCACTGTGTTCCTCCACTAACGTCAATCGCTCTCCAAAACTTATAAAATGAAGTTCAATGTTCTTCCATCTGCAGTGCAATTTAGGAACACCAAACTAAATGTGACTCCTAGAATTCTCTATACACTTTCATGCCATGGCTTTACTCACCCAGTTTTCTTATTTATACTCCATGAAAAGCCTTTTTGTCCATCAAGACGTGGTACAATGATACTTCCTATATGAAACTCATCAGAAATAATTCCTCCTATTAATCTCTCTTTTGCCGTCCTATGGCATTTTGTTTATTTTTATTTCTGCATGATTTTCCTTCTCTGCCATTAAGGTATGATGTGCTTTAGCTATTTTTTGAAGTCATCACATCGTTGGGCTCAGTGAATATTTAGTAATGTCTGATGCACAAATGTATATTCAGCGCTGTGTCCTTCAAAATATCTGAAATATGTTCATTCCATTTTTTTATCCATTACTTCTTGATGGTGGTTTCTGGCCTGCCAGCTTTCTTTTACTATTTAACTAATATTGTTCTCACTGACCCCTATCATGTTTTGCTATTTTTCATCTTTCTTTGTGGAAATAAACTCTGTTCTTCAGGGTTTACGTTAATCTTTCCCTTCCTAACTTATTATAAGAAAAAGATCAGCAACTGACACATACTTACGACTTCACAGTAATTATCTATGAATGATGATAACTAGGAATATTAAGTGGGGTCATAATATCATCATTACATAGCAAACAAGTGCTTGCATGACAGATAGGAGACGATAACAAAGATCAGACGAGTAAAGAAAGTGGAGTGTTGCCAGGTTCTTTCAGTCTGGGGCAGCTTTCCCAACTTTTTGTTTCATAATAAATTGATTTATTTCAGCCAAGTCTAGACTTTGAAAATAAATCCATTAATATGTTGGAATCCTCAACTTGGCACAGAAATTTGAATACTCACAGCTTAAATAGAAACACTCCTCCCAAAGAGTCAAGTGACTAAGTAAATATGAGCTTTAAAACAAGCAACAGGCAACAGTTATCTTGTTGTATTTAGCAAACAGCAATGATAAGGAAGTTGTGAAGGCCTAGATTTCCAAGTGTTATTTGTTTGTCTCTGTCGCCACCTGCTGGACAACATGAACTATAACTGCAGTATTTCTTACATATACATATTATTTGACTTGAATGAATTTAGATTTAAAAAATCATTTTAAATCACCTTAATCACTTAAATTTCAAAAAATCAGATTTTGATATTAGAACAAATGGTGATGCTTGCTTCACAGAACATTGATTTTCCCATGTTACTGAAATTAGCAGTGGGTCTTCATGGATACCTTTTACATGACAATATTGCACCAGAGAATAAAAGTGACGCTTCATTATGGAACAATGAGTCACTCAGTGATCAGGAAAACAACTGACTAAATGAGAGGGAAGTGCAAGTCAATTTGAATGCAGCTTTTAAGATTTATACATCTAAGTTCCACATGGTAGGTGTTATTAAAATGAGATGGCATATATTATTTCAGGAATTAAAATGCAGAATACCTTGAAGTACTGCCATTCCTTAAATTCGTTTAAATTACAGTGTGTAATCATAACTTTTGACCCATCAGGTCCCTTTGTCAAACACTGGTCATACTGCATGAGTTGATTAGCTTCATTGATTCGGAAAAGCTATTAAAAAAGAAAAAGAAAAAATAACAGTCATCCTCTCTGCTGATATACATTTAAAAAACAAAAAAGAAAAGAAACTTGTCTCCTATAGTTAAACCTAATGACTATCTTATTTTTCTGTATGTTCAGAACTCTAAGTACAAAGACAGGAATTATATTCATTTTGATGTTAGTGAAGACCCCTACTAACACTTAAAGAATTATGTTCTTTAGCCTCTTAGATCTAGAATGGTCATGAACACACATTTATTATGTACCAATAATGTGAGCAAATGAAAAAATGGAAACAGACCTGATAATGTTTCACAATCTAAATTAGAGACAAGAAAAATACCCACATAAGGAAGTAAGAAAATGTATGAGTGAAATATACATTACTGGCAGTAACCAGGTTACTGGTTATCCCAGCTTACCGGGTAAAAATATGGAATAGGAAAATATTTGCAGATAAAATTGTTTGGGAATTAAGCTTACACAGTTATATGCTCACACAAAAATATATTCTAATCTCTTTTATTAGACACAAGTTCTAGATTCTGATTGCTTACGTGAAATCCAATATTGCTATTATCCCCCTCAACTAAGTAAAGGTTTCAGCATTCTCAATGTTTTATAGAATGTTTTACTTTTTCAAAACAAAATCACCAAATTGGAAACCCTGCGATCAACGAGCCTGGCAGCTCTCAGTGCAGACCAATTTAAACACGACAGTATGGCTCCTTACCTGATTCCCTCCCATCCTGTGGCAGGGTCCTAGTTCAACAAAGCCGCCATTTGTTCTTCCCATGCTATCAATGCAGTAAACAGTTTCAAAGCCTCTGATCTAAAAAAACAAACAAAGAACCAAAAAGCAGGCAACAGTTTAGTTTTTAATAAGCTCTGGCATCAAAGTAAAAGAATGTCATGTTAAATGTTGCAGTTCACAGTGGAAATCTGGGTATGTGTCGTAACAGGTCATTACAGTATTGTCAGTCTTTGCAGGGTTTAGAGCATATCAGTTATCTGTGAAATCATTTATGGTCTCGAGGTCAACACTGGAATGGACTCATTCCAACTAAGGGCAATGGCCTATAGATTTTGATAAAATACCACGGAAGAATAAATAAAAAGATATCATGAAGTACAATTTCTGATTCATGATAATTCTTGTGAATGAGAAGGAAATAGAGTAAAGTTACCTAACCACAGTGGTAAGACACTGACCCTAGATGTCTAGACCAGACCATATTTGTAAGGTAACTCTCTCACTTTTGGTGGCTACCTCCAGGGGCCTAGGGGGCAAAGGTTATGGCATGTGGGCCAGGCAGTGAGACTTTTCTCTGACTGTGGATAATGTAGGTGAGAAGCAAACACAGGTTTCCATCTTTGGGATACACATTTTGTATAAAAATAACCTTTCTCCTTTTTGGAAATATTATATATTTATATTTCAATTATAAGATACTGTAGTATTTGGATAAAATGTCTTGTTCATTCATTCAGTCAGCAAATACCGACTGAGCACCTATGACGATAAGAGCTTGAGAAGACACAAAGAGAAGCAAGTCTTGGCCCAGGCCCTCACGTCTGCAGGGCTGCTGGGGGAAGTGTCGCTCAGGATGGCGCGAGGAACATGCAGAAGGAGACTCTCGCCCTGTCTGGAGGAACTCTGAAGACAGCCCCAAGCAGACGTCTTTGTAACTGGTAGGGGTCTACCCGGAATGTGCAGGGAATGCTGAGAGGTGAAGCGTACCGTGCAGGGGCCAGAACAGAGAGAGGTTAAACTGAAGATGTGTTCAGGGGTGACACTTAGGGGGACAGGCAATTCCATCTCTCCATTCACTCACGCCTTTATTCATTCATCAAATACTAAGTGACACTGGTCAGGCATGTGGTAGGCTCTGATAGACCAGTGAACAAAACATAAACATCCTTACCCCAGCGAGCTATGTTCTAGGGAGGGAAAGACAGAATAGACGCAAAAAGCATGATGGATATGTTAGGAAGTGACTGGGGAAAAGAGGAGCAAGTTAAGGGCAGGGCACTGGGAGTGTTTGGGGGCCAGCAGGGTAGATCTCATTGAGAAGGTGACCTTTGAGAAGATGTGGGGTCTATATATATCAGCCACGCATGCAGAGGCTAGCTTTGCTTTTCCAGGCAGAGGGAAGGGCAAAGGCAGGAGCATGCTTGCGGCAAGTCTGAAGACCAGTGAGGAGGCCAGTGGGGCCAGGGTGGAGTGAGGCCAGAGAGGAACAGGGCTGATTACGTAGGCCGTAGAGGCCACTGGGAAGGGCTGTGCCTTCACTCCACGTGAAAGGGGGTGTCACTGCAGGTTTCTAACAGAGGTAACGTGACCTGACTCACGTTTTAAAAAGCTGACTCTGATTGCCGTGTTTACAACAGGCAAAGTCAGTCTCAGTGAGAGAGATGTGATGGCTGAGAAACAGCAAGAAAGGGTCAGAGGGGGAACCAGATGTGAAGTGTGAGAGAAGGAGCGGATCCAAAGATGACTCCAGAGCTTTTGGCCTGAGCTATCAGCAAAGATGGGTTGGGGAGGGGAGACAGGAAGTTCAACACTGGATTTGTCGAGTTTGAAATGTTGATTAGACATTCAGTGGAGATGTGGTGCAGGCAGCTAGATGTCCTTGTCCAGGCTCTGGGAGACAGATTTGGGTCGAAGATAGAAATTTTAGCATCATCAGCACATAGATGGTTTTAAAGCCACGAGACTGGACAAGATCACCAAGAAAACTCATTCCTTTTACAGAGAAGGCACTGTGCTAATTAGGTGTTCTCAGAGATTAAGAGAGAACCCAGATGTGGTCCAGACTCCCAGGGGCTTATGGTCTAAGTGGGAGTTAAACACAATTTGCTGTAACAGAACAGAGGTGAAGTAAGAGTATACGGAAAAAAAGGTATTAAAACCAGAGGTGCAGAGAGAGCAGCATAAGTGTTGGCTTCTCCTTTTATTCCCAAACTCTAAATGTTGGAATGCCTTAGGAGTGGATCCCATCCTCTTTTCTCTATCTATGTCTTCCCCCTGAGGTAATCTCATTCAGTCCCATGAAACTGTGCACCTGACGATGGCTCCAAATGTACAATGCCTCTTTTCTGGGCTTCAGTACCACAAAGCCTGAGATCCACTTGACAGCTCCACCTAGATGTCTAATGGGCACTTCCCATGAGCAGAAAACCAACAGAGAACTTGCTATTCCCTGAACCCTCCCCACCCGTCCCCTCTACCACCTACCCAATCTCAGCTGCCACCTGATTGACTACTCAGATGAAAACCCAAACTAGTCATCTTGGCCCATATCCTTCACACATCAATCCATCAGTGATCTACCTCCAGATGAACTGTATATCTCAAATCTGTCCACTTCTCTCCACCTCCATTTTCACCACCCTAGTCTAAGCCACCATCACTTCTCATTGGAATTACCCTACTGGTTTCCTGACTGGCATCTTTGTTTCTACTCTAAATTCTTACAGCAGGGTGATTAAAAACAAAAGCATAAATCGAATCGTGTTACCTGTTTAAAACCCTCCCGTGGCTTCCCAACACCCTTAGGATAAAGGCTTCCCTCCTCATTTATTTAGTTATTTAATTTTTGGTGAGGAAGATTAGCCCTGAGCTAACATCTGTGCCAATCTTCCTGTATTTTGTATGTAGGAAGCCACCACAGCATGGCTTGATGAGTGGTGTGTAGGTCCGCACCTGGGATCTGTGTGAACTTAACCACTATGCCACCAGGCTGGCCCCAAAGGCCCCCCTCCTCATTTAACCTCCTCTCTCCTGCTTATCAAACATGCAAAGCATTTCCTTACTCAGAGCCTTCAAACTCACCATTTTCTTTACTTGGAACACTCTTTCCTCGCTCTCTGACTTGCTTTTTATCATTCAGATCTCAGATTAAACGTCACCTCCTCAGAGGAGCCCTCCTTACCCTGTCCCTAAGTCCTCTTGAGCATCACCTGTTTATTTCCTTCATAGCCCTTACCACCACCTGTCATCATCTGCTTTGTTTTCCCTGTTTTTCTCTCTCTCCCCCGTGAGCATGCAAGTTCTCTGAGGAAAAGGACCTTGCTTGTCTTGTTGTATGTCTAGAAGAATGTCTGGCATATAGTAGGCCCTCAACCAATATTTTCTGAATACACAATTAAGCAAAGCCATGAAGACTTGAAAGGTCACGGCATGTTTAATACACCTATGAGGCAGCAGTCAGTATAAGGCACTTGGGTGGATGCAATCAGAAATGGGGTTACAAAGGCAAGTTTGCAGAAACAAAAAAATGAAAAGACAGATCAATGCCTTTGCCTGATTTTAATTATTTTCAGTTACCACTGATTAATTCATTCATTTGACAAGCATTGTGTGAGTGCCTATTGTATATGGGGATCTCTGTGTTAGTCCATTGGGACACAATGGTGGACAAAGTGTTGAAGCATTTACAGGAGGGCTGAGAGAAAGGCAATTCTGAGCATTATGAGAACCTATGGAGAGATCACAGAACTCAGTCTTTTTGATGGAGTGCGGAAGAATAGAAAAAGGCTTTTCAGTGGTGGTGCACTATAAATTGAGAACTATGGGATAAGTTGGGATTAGCCAAGAAAGGGAGTCGGAGTGAGGGGCAGGGAAGTGGCAGGAGCTGGAGGGAGCGGACAGTGTTCCAGACCAGAGGGCTACATGTGCAAAGGCTGAGAGGAGGGGACATGGCGGTTGGGGGTTGGGGGAGTTGTAACCTTCTAGTGGAAAGTACCAGACAGTTTTTAGCTAAACTCTTCCCCAAGAATTCTTCTCTTTCACTCACACATTTCCATCTCTGCCTTCCCCCAAACTCAGTCTCCAAACACATAACTTTGAGATCTGAATATCAGCTGATACTTACTTCTCCCCAGTCAACATTTTTGGGTGGTAGAGGGTAGTGTGAGGTGATATCATAAGCTATTTCTTCCATGAACCATTTGAAACTTTTGCAGTTGTGATCTTCTCGAAATTTCTTCAGCTCAGATATATCCCCATATGGTAGTGCTTTCGATTCAGGACGACTAGCATAGAAGTAGTCTTTATATTCATCCCACCAAACCTCTACAACTCTAACATAATTCTGTGAAAAAGAAAGTTAGTATCATTCTGAAAAATAAAAATATTAGTAATGTCATAAATAGCCTATCTTAGACACATGACATATGACCAACATATAACAGACTCATTTCAATAGGACCTAATGTTTAATTAAGCAACAAAAGCAAGTGAGCTAATGTTTCTAATTTGTCAATTGCCATGGATAGAAATGTCACACGTGTTCAACTAAAAAGTGATAGACACAGAATCTGATATCCCTGAGCTGCAGGATCATGTATTCTACGAAAATATATTCTATGCTGCTTTGAGAGGAAGAAATTGAAGCCCAGAGAGGGTTTATGAGAGGCTGGCTGGACACTGGTCCTCCTTCTCCCAGAACAATCTCTTTCTGTTAAGAGCCACACTACTACCATGTGTAGGGAACAAATCTCATTTCAGAAACAATCATGAAAAACAATAACTCTGATTAATAAAACACATTTTTGCAGGTGGCTTTTGTTGGTCTTGTTTCAACTCTAATATAACCATTTTACTATAACCCAGAATTAATTGGACATTTTCCCCAGTTGGTGCACTTTAAGAAAAAGCAACTAAAGAACAATACAGTATGTTGACATTGTGATAACTGACAAAGATCTAACTTCTAAGGTTTTACTGAATGAATGCATGTGACAGGTTTAGAGCATACGCAATCTAGTCCCTTGGTCTTCTACATCATGCATCAGCCAACCTTCTCTTTAAAGGGCCAGAGAGTATGTATTTTTGGCTTAGTGGGCCATACTTTCTGTTGCAACTCCTCAGCTCTGTTGTTGGAGTCAGAAAGTAGCCATATCACAACACGCAGACACATGGGTGTGGCTGTGCTCCAAGATAACTTTAGTTACTAAAAAGGGCTAGATGTGGCCTATTGGCCATAGTTGCTGACCCCTGCCTGTTTTACACCAGGAGCAGGAATATCTACTGTTGAGATTAGGTTTTCTAGGGTACAAGATAACTATCAAAGGGTGAACGTGCTCCCACAGGCATATTGTTGCAAAGCCCGTAGATTCAAACCTAAAAAAAACCACATGTGATAGTATTGATAAATATTTTGAATTCTTGCAAATCCATCCAAAATTAGATATAGTTCATGTCTTCTAGATACTAACACACGAAGAGACGAGTGCACACACATATGGTTATAGCAACAAAAAGAAGGAGCACTTCATTGTTTGGGATGGAGAAGGCCAGAGGGGCACCACGGAGGGTGCTGGAGAGCTCAGTCTCAAAGGAGTGGTTAATTAGGTGGGAATGATATCCATGGCAAAGAGAAAAGCAAATGAAGTATGACAGTCATGGTGCATTTGGGGTCCTGAAAGAATTCTACCACAAGTGGAATGCAGGATCCACTGAGAGAAAACCTGCCTCAGTTTCCTCATTTTAAGATGAGAATAATTATAGTCCTTACTTTACAGTGTGTTTTGAAAATTAAGAAGTTCATCTATGGAAAGCATTTAGATTTGTGTCTCGTACATAACTAAGCACTCAAAAAAGTGTCAGCTATTATGAATATGATTATTCTTTCCTAGGACTTTGCATTTTATCCTTTAGTAGAGAGCCATCAAAAGGTTTTAAAGAGGTAACAGACATCAGTTTTAATTTTCAGGGGGATAACGCTGGTGGTGAGTGGAGGGTGGACTGAAGGGGGTTGAACCTGATGGTAGAGAGCCAAGTGGGAGGCCCCCTGATATCCAAGGGAGAGATCTGAGGACCTGGACTAAACCCAGAGAGGAATGGATTTAAGAGATACGGACGAGGTGGAATCATCAGGGCTTGGAAAGGCGGGTGGCGAGGGAGGAGGACAACCCTAAAATGCCCCCTAAGGTTCATTCGTGGGCAAACAGAATACAGGAAAGGGATCACTTTTGAGGAAAAGTTTAAGTTCGGCTTTGACTGCACTGAGTTTGAAATATCTGAGGGTCATCTAAGAGGATAATTCTAAAAGACAATTGACTATAAAGGTCTGAGGCTCAGACCAGACAAATGGACTAAAGAAATAGACATGGGCCACTGGCACCCTGGTGGCTGTAGTGGACAGTGTTGAAACTGGAGAAAGGAAAGTACCTGGCACAGTCTGGGCACTCACTAGGTGTAGGCTGAAGTTACATTTATTGGGTAGTTTTATGGCATCTGCAGTTAATTTTAGAGTAGATAAGTATTTCCCTCTCATCTCTTTTCCTTTTCTTTGCAGCAGAGACCTTCTTGAATCAAGGTGATTTTTCATTAATCCTTCGTGCTTATGGGTCTGACTCCAAGGGCAGGTTCTTTTCCTGTAATGCCCGTCAGGCCTGGTGTTAATTTGGAGCTATCTTTGTTTTATCGTGGATCTTCTAATCTCATCCCTTGTTATAGCTGGGGCTCCATTTGGCCATTTCTAAGATAATTTGCCCAGTTAGAAAGCTGTGCAGGATCTTAAAGCCTAGCTGTCTTTGCTTCTGTTATCTATTCCCCTTTGGGGAACTGTCTCAAGTTGCATCTGCAGCCAATAATAAACTTCCTTCTGCTTTTGACTTGGTTAAAAGCTGCAGAAAACGAAGGGCATCGGAGTCATATGTTCTTAGAATTTATGAAAGCAACCCAACCAAAGGAACTTCAAAGTTTCTCAGTCACAGAGAGTGCCTTCGTGCTCCTAACAGTGGGACATTTGGCCTCTGTGGGAAGCTTTCCTGGTTTGTCCCTGGTTTAAGGGACAAAAGATACTAATATTTTGCAAACACTGTTCAAAAATTTGATTTTGTTTACTACAAAAGTTCTTAATATGGTTACTTTAATTTTTTAAAACCAAACAAAAATAATATTTTTCTCATGTGTGAATATTAGAAGCTAATATTTTCCTTTCAACTACTTTCCTACAGAGTGTCAGTTCTTTTTGAATTTATTTGAGACATCTTCGTGGAGAACACTCAATATAAGAATCTTAACCAGAATGAGATACAATGAATAATCTTAAAAAACAGTAAGATGTTTCATGACTAAATCTAGCCTAAGTTAAAAATGAGAACCAGCATGATTGCTTAAACAACATATCCCATTCAGTGAGCTGACATTTAAGTTACTACCACAGCATTTGGAACACAAATGTTAGTTCCTTAGCCTTCTCCCCTTTTAACCAAAAAACTCACCTTCAGAGTTGGAGAAGACCCAACATAAAGGGGTGGAGGATTCCCTTGCCAACCCTCAAGACGGTAGATGTGTCCAACACGAGAACAAGGGACAAACAGTAATTTGCCACCACACTGCCATATCTATCAAGGAAAAACACATGTGGAAGTTGTTTCAAATGCCAAAAGAAATTATAGCTGAAAATTTATCTTGTAAATGTAAATCTGAAATCTAAATGAGATACAGTGTCCACGGGGAATTCATAAACTAAACAAATCCTAAAATAATTTGCTTGTTTTTCAAACTCACATAATGAGGAAGAAGGCAACAGGGAATTAGTAATATACTGCTACTAAGGGGCCTCTTCCTGTGTATGTGTAGCTCCAAGCAACCCTTTCCCAATGTAACCTGGCAAAGTCATGCAGATTCTTCATTCCTAAAATCATTCATCATTTCCATTGTTAATATATTTCCCACCTGGCTGATTATTATAATAATGTCCTAACTGGCTTCTTCACCCCAGCTTCTCTCTACTCAAGGTTAACCTTATTTATACTAAGAGATTATTCTAGCTGAAGGGCAGCTTTGGGTCATGTTCTTCCCTTGCTTAATACCTTTCATAGTTTTCCATTGCTTATCAAACTAGATAAAAATCTCTTAGCTCAGCATTAAAGGCTCTCTTCTATATGGTTTTCACATACATGTCCACTTATCTTCTGGATGTCTTTCTCATTCATGCTGTCAGATTCTGCTAAACCATGCTCCTCACTGTTTCCCGAATATTCTTCAGGTTCCCACCCGTTCTGTTTGCGTAGAATTGCCCCTCCCCTCCCTCTCTGCTTATTGATACCGTGCCCAAGTTGTAGTTCTGCCTCAAATTCTACCTCCAGCATGATGCTGTTTCTTAATCACACCAACTGAATGCCATTCTACCTTCTTATTGTATTATGAATTGAAGTATAATTCTAATTTCTTCTTATTGACTGTAAGTTCCTTGAGATTAAGGACTGAGTTACTCCTATCCCTCATGGTGCTAAGTTGAATATTCAACTCAAACTGCCATACAGTTCTTTCTTTCTTTCTTTTGGAGAATGGGGGGAGGGGAGTAGGAGCAGAAGACATCATTGTCCAAGGACTGCCCCAATGACGGGGGCTGCTGCAGGAAGGCAGCTCCACTGTCAGTCTGAGGATGCCGTCACTGTTGGGATCTGCTTCTGTCCTGCATTATCATGTCCTGTGATGATGAAGGGTAACCACATCAGTGAATGGTCAAATGTAGCCCCAATACATGCAGATTCTCCAAGGGGCTCCTACAAAAATGGCTCTAGTGTATAGAATTCCTTGGCTGGGGGTTGGCGGGGGGGTATTTCTGAAGCTTGCTGGCCTCAATTTTGAGCTGAGTTACGTAAATAGGTGGTAAATTTGGAGCTTGCATTTTGCCTTATTTTTCCCGAAAAGCATACATTTTTGATAGTCATTCCTTATGATTTAGAGAAATGCTTTAAGGAGTTCTTTCCAAAGAAATCAGCCTTATCTGAAAGTCGTGAAAGCCAGTTAACTACTTTGAAAACTCCATTTGTTTAAATGAAATGTTACCTTGTATGAGATCTCAAAGTTTTCACCACCCCAAATCTGGAGACCTGGATCATAGAGACCCAGTTCAAAGAAGAACTCTCGTTCGATGGCAAATAACCCACCAGCCATGGCTGGGGACCTAAGAAAAAGAAACACTAATAACTATTAAAGACAAATTGCCAATATCCCTTCACCAACAGACAGCAAGTGTTTCTGGAATACAGTCTAAATAATGCATAACGGGGAAAAGATGATGGCCAAACATCAAGAAATTATAAAGCCTTACAATCTGTTCATAATTCTTCTTTAATAGACTTACCACAATTTCTAACTGAAATAGAATTACAGTTCACTACAAATTAGAGGATTGCATCATTTTGCCATAAGAGGGCGCCTTGGTTCCTTTACTGATTTAAAAATTAAGCCTTTAGAGTTAGTTAAAATACAATTTCTCTTTCACTCCTAAAAACACTGAGCCACACAGCCGTGGTCTGCTAACTGCTCCTGAAATGATTTATGAGTCATTCTGGGATGAGCGAAACCATACACCATGGAAGTAGTCTGTCATTTTTTAATTTTATAGCTCAGGGGCTTGCCAAATAAGGGTGTAAATCATCCTAGAACAGCCACAGTTCATTCAGAGTTTGCAAATGTAGCACAGAGACGACACAGAAGAATTAGACATAGCTATTTACTGTGTCGGGAGGTAGGAATGCAAAAGGGTGATCTGTGGGGCTTCTTGAATGGGATCTTGAATTGGGACTTTTTAGGGACAAGAGAAAAAAATTTGGTAGCTTTTTGGAGACAAGCCATTTCCATCATTAGGAGAAGTGACAGGGGAATAATTTTCATCCTGTTCTTTGTCTCCTACCCCCAAACAATTAATTATTAATGCATCATGACTTTTAAGTAGATTCCTCTACTAGAGGACCTCCTTTAGCATTACACCTGATATTCAATCCATCACTAATTCCTATTGATTCCACCTTGAAAATACATCTTGAATCTGTCTACTTCTTTCCAACTTCACTGCCACCACCCTAGACCAACCTACCACTGCTTGGACTGTTGCAGTAACCCCCTAACTTGTCCTTTTTTCTATTCTGCCACCTTCCAAGCCTGATCCACAGCAAGCAGAGCAGAGTCAATGTGGGCCTGCATGATGCCAGCCTCTCTCCACTCTGGAGGTTCAGCTGGCTCCCTCGTCCTGCATTCTTCACTGCTCTGCTCGTGCCATCAACATGTCAAACTGCCTTCTGTCTCAGGGCCTTCACTTGTTCTGTTTGGTCTCCTGAAATGTTCCTCCTCCTCCACAGGGTTGACTCCTCATTCTTCAGGTCTCAGCCTCAAGGACACTTTGTCAGGGAGGCGGTTCTGGATCCTCCAGGCTGGACTAGGTTCTCCTTTCATAAGCTCCATGTAGCCTTTTATTTTTCTTCATACCACTCATCGCAGTTGCTGTTCCAGAGTTATCTATGTAGTTATCCATTTAGTTTCTGTCTCACCCACTATATTTTAAGTACCATGAGGGAACATATTTTTTAAAATTTATCTCCAGAAAATAGTGCCTGGCACACAGTAAGCACTCATTAAATATTTGTTGAGTGGATAAATAATGAATCAAGTAATATTCTCAGTGTTAAAGGAAAATCACATCAGGGGAAAGTCATTCTCTGTTGCCTTTTCTTCTTAAAGTATGCTGCCTAACTCACTAAACAGCCCTATTACATTTTTGGTTGTATTTTCATGTCTCATTTATTTAGCTATCATTTAAAATTACTCTATTATAACTTTGCCTTTTTGATCTTTAAATATATTCCCACTTAGCTCAGTATACGTTTGAAAATAGATCTTAACACAAAAACCTCCCTTAACTTTTTCTAGCTCACTTCTAAAAGTTTCTTTACTAGCCCATGGAATTGGCAGAAATATAAATGTAATCATCATCCCCTATTTTTTTTCTCTCAGAATTATTTGTTAGGTTAAGTGGGTAAGCAGTAGTTTCCTAGACTATTTTGAAAAAAAACTTCAAAGAGAAATTTGGAAACTGTCAAATAAAGCTTAAGGTTTTATAATTTCCTTATGTTTGCCATTTCAGTATCTTGATATCATGATATGCCCAAATCCCACCGGCATTTCCATGACATTGGAAACACCTTCCCAAAACAGAGTTCTAACATTATCAGTAGTGTAACAGGGAGAGAGAGACCAAAAGCAGAACCATAAGATCAGAAAAATAAAATGAGACACATTTAGAAGCCTACACTAACATTTGAGCAAACATTTCATTTGGGGTCCCTCTTTTGAAATATAGTATAATGTTCCACTTATAAAAGACCAGAAGAATAGAGGAACATAAATTGTTCTATTTCAAGAACCACAGAAGGGACGAAAGCTGATTTTGGAACAAAGTTTCCTTTTAACCAAGTGCTCTTCTGAGAATGAACTAATAAAATCTTCTACTATGTAACATTTTCCACAGTCACGTATTTTTATGCATCAGATTTAACGGGTACAAAATTAGTATTTAAGAGTTAGCATATAAAAAAGAAAGAAAAAAACAAAAGAATCTCTCGCTAATGCCTTTCATTGCTAACACTACACCCAAGGCATCAAAGTGGATATAAAACTTGGATTGTAATGGAATTTATGTGTTTTAAATTTACAGAATGACATTACCGTCAAAAGAATAAAATTTGATGTCTAGTTTACTAGGAAAGGATGGCAAAGATTTTCTTTTCTTCATTCGTGTTTGGAACTAATGCCATATAACATCCCTCCCTCCCACCAAAAAAAGAGAGCTTGCATTTAGGGAGAAAGCAATTACAAAGAAGCAAAAGTGAATTCAGATCTCGAATAGTGCAAGGGAAGAAACCCTCTCAGAATGTGAGGCAGCAGTTACAGTTTTAATAACAAACTTTTTAGCTTGGCAAGAGGTTAATAGGTTAGCAGCAACTGGAGAAAAGAAAAACATGTAAGTGATTTAGTGATTACCGATATGGTTCAGTTTTTGTCTTTCTCATTCTCTTCTCTCGAGGGGTCAGAGGCACCCGTTTCCAGAGCATACTCCAATCCCATGCTCCTCGGGCATACCCATCTTCGTCACCACCCCCTTGGGGGATAATTTCATATGTTTTGCCATTTATGACATCTATAATCGGCACAGTGCAAATGGTTCTGTATTGTGTTGATGATGGCAGCACAGATGAAATGGAAGCATATGTATGGACCCACATATTTATACGAGGACATGGGGAAGGAAAAAAAAAGTACTTAGATAAACATTCCACATGAGAAAATAAAGTAGTAATCTTTACCGATAAGGTTCAGTTCTATGTTTTCTTTTGGCCTTTTCCTTGTGGCTTAGAGGAATACGTTTCCATAGTAAACTCCAGTCCCAGGCCCCTCTGGCAAAACCATCTTCATCCCCACCTTGCTGTGGTTCAATGGAATAATCATTCCCATCTATGTAATCTATTAGAGGTACAGTACATGTAGTTCTGAAATATTTACAGAAAATGGAAAAGCATTTAAGAACCCAAAACTGACTAGTTTAGAATGCCTAACTATATTATCTTTTTATTGTTAATTTTTTTTTTTTGCAGTAGGGGACTTTAATATCTAATGGGAAATCGAAGTAAATGAATGTCCTTGCAAGTCAAGGAGGCTGTTTCGATAAGGGGAGGACAGAGGAGATTCTTCCTCAGCTGACTGACACGTGTCAGGGACAAAGAAGCACGTCTTTGAACTTAATCATGTGTTCTCATTCTCGCTCTGGGCCGATGGGCAGCTTTCTCTTGGTAATTCTGGATTATTTATGAGATTTTCCTGCCTAGTACTTTCCCTCCTCATCCTTTTATTAAACCAATGAGCGTGTCTGTGTGTGTGTGTGTGTAGAAAGACAACACCTGCTACATTCTTAGCAGTTCTCCCAATTCTTTGCTGCTCTCTGTTTCTCTGGAAGCAGTTATTATGAAAATCTGTTTCTGTACTTTTACTTGCTTTTCTTTTCCTATTTCTTTTATTACAAAAAACAGCTTTCATTGCAAAAAAAAAAAAAAAAAAAGATACTGTATTATATTCCTGCTTTTAAAAAAATGAGAAGAAAAATCCCTCAAAACCTGCTGAAGAACTTAAGCAGGGGCCTGAGAATTTGAAGCAAAAAAAAAAAATGCCATGTATTCGGGTTATAAAAATGCTAGTACCATATGAGTAATTAGGTATAGAGTCAACTCGACAAAGATAACTTGGTACCCTGCTTGTTGCAATGCTCATCTTATCAGAAAGGATTTAAAAATGCATTTCCTAAAATGGAGATTACATTTTACGTTACATTTACATTTTCATAACCATGTTAAGGTGCTTTTTAGATGTTTAGAAACCAAGGAGAAGGGGAAAATCTTAGAATTTTGATATGGGAGCAGTAGAGTTGAGAAAGGTGCTTTATTCCCTCCAGCCTGTGGACACTCATGGGACAGTGGAGAGTCACTGTGGGGTATGTGGGACCACCACAGGGCCTTGTGGGAAACCATGTCCTTATCGCCCTGGAGGACTGCTAGTCTTCACCCGGAGAGGTGAGGTTCGTTATCTTTCCTCACTTCTCATGACTCTCAGATTTCTAAATTGTGCAGAATAAAGTGTCCCAGAGAGATCTCAGTTTGATAGTTTATTAGCTGTTGGATTTAATTGATTTCTCTAAGCCTCAGTATCCTCTTCAGTACAATGGAGCTAATAATATCTCCCTTGCAGGGCTGCTGTGAGGATTAAGAGAGACAGCACTTGAAAAATGTTTAGATAGGCCTTCACATTAAATCCTCTACTGATTAAACCCTCCAAAGTTCTTCCTTTGACTCATGCCTTTCGTCACAGGGACATGTCTATTTTCCTAGATTCCGAGAATTCTGGACCAAAAGCAGCAAAGGCTTTTGGAACTAGGAAACTGGTGCTGCCTTCTATTATTTCAGACATTTCTGTAAATTTAATGGTGATGATCACATTTGCATAGAATAGTGGATTATTTCTAAATTTTGAAGTTTCTATGGGAACCCAAACCCCGGACACAAATAACAGCCGATCCTTACTATTTAAAGTAATCATTAAAAAGGGCATAAAAAGACCCAATAGCTATAATTTCAAAGTATACTCCTTCAAGTCTTTAGAACTGTTACTACAGTGTAAAGGGTGCAATTAATATTACTGTTAGAGAAAGCTTTTGGAGCTGGAGGAAGTCTCTTCCACAACCCAACCACAAGATGATTCTGGAGGGAGCCACCCTAGGCTTATCCCAAATGCCTAACTGCCCACATTTGAATCAGCCCAAAGTATCAGTCTAGCTCCACCCAAGGAAACAACTAGCTGAAAAATAAGACTTAAAACATAGCACTTGATACACTGAATGGAACTGGAATCAGAAGAATGAGAATATCATTTGTCCTTCTAGGATGAAGTTTACTTTTCAACCAGGAAAGAAAAAAAGCAAGGTAATGTTACCTGTCCTTAGATATGGGAGCAATGAGTGGTGCATACCAGTTAACTGCCACCTCACAATGAGCATCAAGGTATATCAAAACCTTTAAAAAAAAGAAGCAAGGTAAAGAACTCTCCTCATATATGGGACATCACATATCTCTCACAATTGAAAATTAGATGCTAATATAAATTATCATCAGAGTCAATTTTGACATAAATTATCTGCTTAAGCCATCATTTTCATTTCAATTAAAAAAGTAAAAAAATTGAAGGGTACTTAAAAATCCATATGATCTATTGGTTACCAAATCCAAAATGCTGACACTGTAGATATCAAATGTTTCTTACCTGCCCAAGTTTAGCCTTCTGGGCACCAATACTTCGTGCTTGAATTAAACCTTCTCTTCTCTCATTTCGAAATACCTTCACTAGGCCATTCCACAGCTTAATATAGTCATCTAATTTTTCCTTTAAGTGTTCTATGAATAAAAAAATTCAGTCAACATTATAAATTACATTTATGTATATAAACCAATTAAACTATTATTTTTCTCAAGAAACAAGGATAGGCAACAGCTACTTTGGATAGTCACTAATTTTACACACACCAGGTTGAACGGTTCATCTTTAGGGAAGCAAGGTGAAGTGATTATTTGAGTTAAATTTTGAGCTTAATATGCCTACAGAGAAGTGGTTAGCCTGAGAATTATCAAATATCCCTCTAAACATTAAATAAATGCTAACTATTGCCAATTGACAAGAAAACTTAAAACAGATTCACATGTTAATATCATATCTAAAAGCTTTCAGGCACAATATTTCGTTTGATTTTGGCAGAAGCAATGGTTCAAGATTTCTGAAGATATATTGCCTATAAACAACATTATATGACTTCACTGGAATTCACACAGAGTATAGTGAACATTTGTTCTGGTCCATCTCTCTCCAACTACAACCAATGTCGAAGCTTGAGTCTTGGTGTGATGAATAGAGTTGCCATCAAGTTAGCAAGTAACAATCAAAAGATCCCATTTTCTCTCTATTTTAAGTATCAACAAGTGTTCATATATCTATACGTATGTATGTATATATTTATAAATATTTACATATTTATATAATAAATATAATATTTTATATAATAAACAATAGACATATATTTGCAATTTGGTAGAGGAAATTTGGTGTTACAAAAACAAGATACATCAGCCAAAGTTTCCATCTTGGCTTCCCAGTTGCAAGAGAACAGTTTTTGTTTACATCACTGTGAGCCTATGAAATTGGCACATCACAGCCACAACTAGCTCCCGGATCCTTAAAGATGTTTCTTGGAGACATAAATATTATTTTAAAATTGTTTAAAACTTTGGACCATTAATACAAAAACAAACAAAAATAGCTGTATTTCGTGATGAGCTGGTGGTTAAATGGGCAAATCAGACTGTACACTTAATACTTTACTTTTAGGGAGCTTATAATTAGCAAGACACCCACACATGGGTATTCAAAATAGAGAATAAAAAAGTTTTCCTTTTTCTATTTTGGCAACCAGTTTTAATGAAAATTATAAGTAAAATTCTTATGCTGAATTCTATTTTTTCACTCTGAAAATCTAGGTAATTTTCCCTTCGATGTAACTTTTTCTTAAAAAAGCTCTTACCTTCCTTTTTTTTTTTTTTTTTTTTTAAGCTCTATACAGTCCTAAGTTTTTTAAAGCCCCTTCTGAATTTCATTAGGTACTCTTTTGGATATGCAATCTAAATAAATCTAACATAAATCATTATAGCCAGCAATGAGTTGATGGCTGGTTCTTCAAATTTAGAGTCTTAGTTAAGAGGCTCCCAAAAGGGAAGTTGGTGACTCAGATGAAGTTGGTGACTCAGATGACTTCTGCTTCTTTGGGATCTCGCACTGTGGTAGTCTGTATTACTGTCCAAAATATTCACCCAGCTCCTTGGGGGTGATTATCCAACCCACTGACGGCAGCCTGGGCCATGTGGCTTGCTGTGGCCAATCAGATGGGGGGAATGATGTGGGGCACTTTTGAGCAGAAGCGTTAAGAGCTCACTAATACATTACCAAACCTCTTCTTCCCGTTTGCCTCAAGGCAGGCAGTGTCCACAATCAGGCTGCTCTGCCAGCTAAGCCTGACCCTCAGGGACATGTATAATAAGTGAGAGAATAGTATAACCTTTGCTGTTAGAAGCCACTGAGAGTAGGGACTTGCATTTTCCCTCACCCCACTGAGCCTCAGCGGGCTGATGCTCGCCTGTAGCCAAGTGTGCTCCAGAACCTTGTTAAGAGAGGACATTGTAATTTCCAGAAACCCAAGTGTTATGAGCAGCCAGCTCATCTGTGAGGTTTTATATTAGTAAAGTATTTCATCTTTAAAAGAAAATTATAACTCAAAGTTTTACTTTCTGAATATATTGGGGAAAGAACAAACCAAATTTTCATTCAAGTCAGATTTACCAAACAGTATATACTTTTACTGAGGATGGGACTGACTGATTTTAAGGTGTCTTGAAATTGGGAAAATTAATCAAAGCCCTCTGTTCAAGGATAGCCCCAACAAACGTCTCTCCTAAGGCTGCCAGCAAAGCTGCCCCTGTGAGTGACTGCTGTTATAGTGTGTTACAAGAGTCTGAACATAAGAGATTTGTGACAACAGAAGCACTGATCACAAAACAATGAAAGCAAAGTGGACAGAAAACTTAAGTCCAAAATTTTGTTCTCTCTTTCTTGGGCCAAGCAAGAACGCAAGATTTTAGAATGGCAAACACCTTTTGGCGGGTCTTCACTTTTTTTTTTAATAGAACATGCTAAGCTTTTACTTGTATTAATAACATAGGGGTTCTTAAAACAAGTACAATTATAGCCGTGGGAATTCTCAGTTCTTTTTGTAGATTTAGATTTTTCTAAATCTAAAATATTGTTGTACCAACAATATCACGTTAAAACATATTTTCAAATATTTATTTTGAGACAGGAATAGTATTCTTAATGAAAACACTCCTGTCCTAGAAAATTGCAACCAAGAGATGTTTAAGCTAAAGGCATTTGAGATGACTAAAAATTTTAAAGCCAAACGTTCTCTAGTGTAGTTAAAAATGATTAGTTGAAAAAAGTGATTAGTGCACAAAGATGAGGGGGAAAGGAAATAGGCCATATTTCTACTTCTTCTCCATGCTGACATGTGTACAAGATCAAGATTCCGGTTATGTCCTCATAAAAACAGCAGAGGTTTATCCAGACTGCAGGAGTTCTAAATTAAGTTTTGGAGGAAGCTTTTATAAAGCTATTCTGAATGGTATTTTCATGCTACCCATGTTCTGTCTTCACTTCTAAACATTATATTCAGTTGCATCACTACTTGTACACAAAAATTCTCTGTAAAACTTACTGGCCAAAAAGCAAATATTCTGTTGCTATTGAGTAGTCTGAGCTCCTTGGTTACTTTTCAAAGGTTTTAATTCAGTTTTGTGACAAGCAAAGAAGAATAAATAAATACTCAGATCTGGGTTTCAGCAGCACAATTACATTTTTTTATTCAGCATGCTTATGTGAGGTCTGAGCTGTGGCATTACCTATCTTGATATTTATGTTATTAAGAAGATATATTCAGCTTACAATAATGGATCTATTTAAAGAAAAAAATGTTGGAAAGCAGTTTGGAGTATCCTCAGAAAATTAAGGATAGATCTACCATATGATCCAGCTATCCCACTGCTGGGTATTTATCCAAAGAACTTGAAAACACAAAGGCATAAAGATACTTGCACCCCTATGTTCATTGCGGCATTATACACAATAGCCAAGACTTGGAAGCAACCTAGGTGCCCATCAAGGGACGAATGGATAAAGAAGATCTGGTATTTATACATGATGGACTACTACTCAGCCATAAGAAATGACGAAATCCGGCCATTTGTGACAACATGGATGGAGCTTGAGGGTATTATGCTGAGTTAAATAAGTCAGAGGGAGAAAGTCAAATACTGTATGATCTCACTCATAAGTAGAAGATAAAAACGACAAACAAACACATAGCAACGGAGAATGGATTGGTGGTTTCCAGAGGGGAGGGGGGAGGGCAAAAGGGGTGATTCAGCTCACTTGTGAGGGGATGGACTATAATTAGTGTTCGGGTGGTGAACATGATGTAATCTACACAGAATTCGAAATATATTATGATGTACATCTGAAAGCTATATAATGTTATAATCCAATGTTACTGCAATTAAAAAAAATTAATTCCTTTTCTAGAATTAAAAAAAAAGAAAGAAAAAAAGAAAGAAAAGAATGTTAACTTAACAAACCCGCTTATCTGGAAAATTCCCTGCTCAATCTCTCTCTCACCAGAATGAACCAAGACTAACCAATGCCTCCCTAAATGCTGTAATATCTGGCTCCTTAAAAAGAATAAAAATAAAACAATTTCCTTTTATTTAGTATCCTAAATCAAACATAGGACAAAATAAGCTTTAGTAGATAATTTCTATTATGAATAAAAGTAGTCCATGGTTTCTGGTCAAATTCAATATTTGCATTCTCATTCAAATGCAAAATACAGGCTATTCAATAGGTATATGGATTTCAGTCTGACAACTCTGGATGGAGTTTCAGGTGGCATTACAATATAAAGGCAATTGCATTCTCTCAGTCTTTCAATAAATTACCTCTATGACTAAAATTTTGCAAAACCCAAGGCCCGAAGAATTGGTATAGTATAAGACAGTGGTTAAATACACAAACTTATGTGCCTGTAGATTGGGATCTAGCTGTTAATTACTACCTCTGATTGCTGACAAGTTACTTAGCATCTCTGAGCCCCAAGTGCAAAATGGAGATAATAGCAATATCCATCGCAAGGATTTCTGTCAGGATTAAACAAAAAAATTAATATATAATGCTTGGCACAGTGCCCACTTGCTGATAATATATGCTATCAACAGATGCTAATTATTAGTTTTTAAAGACGATTTTGAAATCAGTTTTGCAATTACACATAATTAACTTATTTTATAGATAAAATGTCAATTCTATAACTATTACCTTTATTACTGAAGTCATCAATTAACACAATTTCTGCTAAATATTTCCTTGGCGTCCTTTTAATTACACTGTGGACCGTTCTCATGAGGGTTGACCATCCTTCATTATGGAAAACGATGACAACGCTGGAAGTGAGCAGGTTTTCATCATAATGCCAATACTTGCATCTGCAAAAGGAAAATTTCATCATATTTATTTAGAGGTAATCTATACTGCTTGGTTCCACACATACTATAATTATGCTTTCTGGCTGGATTACATATTATTGACTTAACTAAGGCAATGAAATGAAATATAACCTTTTATATTTTAACAGAAACACAAGATAGAAGAGAGAAGCTGCTATGAGATGAAGTTACTCACAGACAAAGCCACTTCCTAACCAAGTGGCACTTACTGTGTGATAAAGAGAACTAATTTGTGAATTTATGCTTCTCAGTTGGGGATGCTTAAGATATTATTTACAGCTATCAGGGTTTTCTTTCATGACTTAGTTTATTTTCATTTTTAAAACTTGAGCCTCTGGTGCAAGGGATCTTTTTCATTTGCTGTGAGCAAACCACTATGTAACTGTTTGAAAGCTCTTCTGTTCTAACAAGGCTATAACATTAAGAAAAGAAAAAAAATTAGGGTGAACTGTGGCATATAGCAGGCATTCAACTGTTGAATGAAAAAACAAAGCTCTAATAATGTTTAGAATTACTAGATTGGCTAAAGAAGGATCATTAGGTATTTTATACAAAACTATTTAAATAACTGTAGCAGGAAGAAAGTTGCTAGAAGCCTTGTTCTAATTGGAAGGAAATTCAAAACAGCGCCTGATGAAGACTCACAGAGCCAGGGATGGTTCAGTGAGATTCACAGAAGCATGATACATATCTTATATATATATATGCTAATTATATGTCTGTGTATACACATATGTATATGTACGCACACACACATTTTCTTCTGTGGTATGAGAGAAGAACAAGACAGTAACAACACAGACTAATGAGAACGATTTGAGACCCATGATCTTTCTGCAGGAGCTAGTTTTCAGAACCAGCATTTAGAGCCTATTACCTTCTCCTTAATAAGTGGGAGGGAAAGGTTTTGTTTTAGTTTTTTTATCCCAAAGCTTTTCATGAAGTAGTAAATAAGTTTCTCCCCAAGATTAAACTTAAAACCACAAAAACAATAATTAACATTATCAGCTTGATAACCTATACCAGCATTTAGAATAGTAACCATTATCTACATTATCTAAAATAGGACCTGGCCCAATATAGATGGAAACAACCTTTTCTCCTGCTGTTTATTTTTCTTTCAAAATTGTCTATGTTCTTAGAGGTTATTTTTGTAGAAATGCAGACTGAGTCTGGTCACCCATTTCATCTTATTTCTTCTATCTTCATTTTCTTATTAAATGAGTATTAGGTACCGACTATGCCCATGCTCTGTTCTGGGCACTAGAGCTGGAGCACTGAGGGAGACAGATATGGTCTCTGCCCTTATGAAGCCCAAGGTCCTATAGGGTAAGCGAGACACGGAGCAAATATCTGTACTTTCTATGAGTGTGTCGGTGGGGAAAACAGGGTGCAAATATCTGGTGGACCTCAGCCTCAAGATGTGTGGTCAGGAAGGCCTCCTGGAGCCCTGATGAGTGGGACCAGAAGGATGATTAAAAAAAAGTAGAGACAAAGAAGCGGGGAGGGAGCAGGGAGAAAAAGATGAAACCACAAGAATGAATGGCGCGCATATGATTCAGATATCATGAGAACTTAAAAATGAACAGATCGAAGATTTATGTCTTTGGAAGGTATAATTAAAACATGAAAAATAAACATAAGTTAAAGAGAAAAAGTTACAAAGAAGGGCATTCACGGTACCACAGCAAATAACAGCATATACTTATTATGAGCAAGGCACAATTCTATGTGCTTTACTTTGACCAACACCCACACCACACCCAACACCTCTATGAGGTTAGTACTATTAATGTCCCCATTTTACAGATGAGGGGACTGAGGCTTAGAGATGAATGATTTGCCTAAGATCACACAGCTAGTAAGTAATGAAGTCAGTAAATAAACCTAGGCTATCTTGAGTTTATAAGAAATCTTTTTTTTTAAAGTTGGCACCTGAGCTAACAACGGTTGCCAATCTTTTTTTTTTGTTTTGCTTTTTCTCCCCAAATCCCCCCAGTACCTAGTTGTATATTTTAGTTGTAGATCCTTCTAGCTGTGCATGTGGGATGGCCTGATGAGCGGTGCCATGTCCGCGCCCAGAATCCAAACCAGTGAAACCCTGGGCTACCAAAGCGGAGTGCAAGAACTTAACCACTCTGCCACAGGGCCGGCCCCAAGAAATCTTGTTAAACATAAAAGAAAAAAATACTAGCTATACCTATCCATGAATGGCTAAGAATTGATATTGACACTGAATATCAATTTAATACAAGGCACCCGTATTGTCATGTGATGGGAGCCCTCTTCCCTCTCTCTCTTCCTAGTGCTTTGCAGCCAGGAGATAAACCCAGGAATGGGGAAGGAATGGTGGGGGCATGGCAACAGTTTCAGCAACAAGTTAAACAAGGAGGGATTTCTAGAATAACTCAAAGTTGAGAGGGACCAAATGCTCTTTTGCAATAACAAGTTAAAAAATACAGTAGTGGAGCAATGCAGATCTTGAAAGAACACGTTTTGAGTGTTTCTGGAGAGAAAGCAACCTGAGCAGGTCTGTCTAAGGATAATAATCCCCAAAGCACAGTGGAACCCGGATGGAGACTCAGGCAACAGTTTTCTCCCTCTGAGACTAACCACTGGGCTTAAAGCAGCAGAACTCTTTAGGAAAGACGATTTTGATTTACAATAGACACCAGAATTGGTGACAATATCTAAGACATGAAGGGGATTTGGGACTTGCTGCTTTCTAAGGCAAAAGATGACAACTCGTGGAAACAAGCCAGATAAGCACTTTGAGTGGGAGACGGAAGAACTGACAACATAGAGGGACTGAAGGAGGAGAGGAAGAGGGTAGAGCGAAGATAAGAGAGATGGTCCATGAGGGACACCTTCCTTGTTCTGGGGAACACAATGTGGTGACAGTCTGAAGGTCTGGACAAGCTACCTTGCATTCTTACATGGGACAAGGGGACAAGCGAGCTGGAGTAGATTATGTGGTCCAATTTTTCCATGTCCTCTGACCTATCTACAGTTTGTAAATAACTCCAAAGATGTAAACTAGATTGTGTACCAGTAACAACTCTTGGTGGATATTTTTCCTATTTTCTTTGTCTTAAAAATTACAAAAGCAGTACACAATTTTTTTGTACAAAATTCAAGCTATATAGAAGTTTATAAAGTAAAGATGAAGTGCCCTCCCTTAACTCTTCCCAATTATGTCAAATCTCCCCTCCCAGGGGAAATCACTGTTAATGGTTGTATATTATTTAGATTTTTTTTATACTCATGAGACACACAAATGTTTGTATGTATATACAAATGGATTCAGATGAGTATATATAGATGCTTCTTCCATGTGGGTATGTATAGCTTTATTTTATTATCTAATGCTTTTTAACTATTGCATAACATTCCATAGTATAGCTGCTGTTCTATAATTTATTTAACTATTTCCTTATTATTTATGAACATTTCAGTTGATTCCACAAATAATGTTACAATGATCATCCTTATGCATACATTTCTGTGCCCTTGCTAGGAATCTCTCCTACAAAATGCTCAAGGCTGGAAGCTCATTAGGGACAGGAATCTCATCTGTTTTTCTCACTACCATCTAACACATAATAGCTACTCCATAGATAATTATTGAATTGCTTTGGGGATATTTTTGAAATGCCTCTTGATGTATTTTCTTCTCTCAATAATGTCCACTCTCCACCCCACAATCTTCCTCTGTTTTCAGGTACCCTCAAGAACAAGTCAGTCCATATATGGCAGGTGCAGGAGCGGACTTCCCTCTTCTGCAGAAAGGAGAAATAGAAGCTCTTCTAGTGGGGAGAGATAGAAAATCTTGGGGCAACAAGATGACAGCACAGAATAAAAGCAGATAGAGGAAGGGACTTGTGCTTAGCCTCCATTTCCAAACTTCAGGAGATTACCTACCATGGGGTGGCTATAGCACGGAACAGAGATAATGTTAAAGTGTATTTAGGCAGGGAGGGTGAAGGACAATTCCCTTCCCCACCTCTTCTTTGCAGTCTCCCTTGGCTCTAGTATGGAGCCAAGAGAGCCTAGAAGTTTCCACATGCTTTACACGTGGGAACATGTAAGGTAGCTGAGAGTTAAGATCCAGGGGCCAGTTAGGAGTCACCATGGGAAGGGGTAAGATGACGTGCAGCAAAGCTTAAGGGCTAGAAGGCTTAAGCCAGAGACTGGCCCTCGGGGTTCAGAGGATCCACAGCACCAGTGAAAGCCAAAGTGGAGATGAGTCCCCAAAGTGGGGCAGGCATGGGAAGGGACCACCAGTCCCGAGGGCAGCAGGAGAACTGACCAGAAGTTACTGCAGCAGGGGTTCCTTCAGCAGCAGATGAGAAGAGGTCAATACACCTGGGAAGACAGGGTGCACCTCACTCAGAGCCAGGAGTAGGTGGAAGAGACGGAGAGTAAGCAGTCCAGAACTACCCACAACACCTCAAGGATACATGACCTTTCTGTCACCTGGATGCTGTAGAAGAAGGAAAGGGAAGAGACAATATCCTCTGGAGAACAGAAACAACCCAGAAAGGGAGCCTGAACTCAGGCTGACTGGACACTAGCCCAGAGGAGATTTAAGCCAACATAGATTGGGTTACTTTTTTTTTTTTTTAAAGATTTGCACCTGAGCTAACATCTGTTGCCAATCTTTTTTCTTTTTCTTCTTCTTCTCTGCAAAGCCCCCCAGTACATAGCTGTATATTCTAGCTGTTAGTTCCTCTGGTTGTGCTATGTGGGACGCCGCGTCAGCATGGCCTGATGAGCGGTGCCATGTCCACGCCCAAGATCCGAACAGTCAAAACCCTGGGCTGCCAAAGCAGAGTGCACGAACTTAACCACTGGGCCAAGAGGTCGGCCCCAGATTGGGTTACTTTTAACTACAAGCTATTATTTGCTACATCAGACTGCATGCAGGTTCATGAGAAAGTTTAGCTCTTTGACAGCTTTTCTGATTTTCCACTGTAAGA